CACAAGTATGTGTGTGTGTGTGAGAGAGAGAGAGAGAGAGAGAGAGAGAGATCTGCTTAAGATGACAAGATCAGTTATGTGCAAAAGGCCAAGACACTTTTACTTAGTTCAACTGTGCTTGTGAGCAATCAAATATCATTCCCCCCCCCCATTGCAGTTCTATCCTGGCTTTCCTCCAGTCACCATCTCTTAGCCTAACCTACCTCACAGGGTTGTTAGGAGATGAAATGGGGGGGGGGGAGAACCATGTACACCACCTTGAGATCCTTGGAAAATAAAGGTGGTATATAAACAGTGCTATTCCCCGCCCCCTAGAAAAAGAGGTGCTGGAACGCACCACGAACACCTCCCTCATTCTCTTAGAATGGCAATGGTACCCACCTGAAAGGTGCGAGGACTGAGTTCTGGAGAGTCCTGGCTGGGGGGGGGGAGCCCTGTAATATAAGCTAAATAAATAAATAAATAAATCTGGACCTTGTTAGTTCTAATTCCTCTTTTTATTTTCATTTTAAGATGACATTTTACTGCTTTTATTATAGTGTTTGATTGTTCTTACAATGTTTTGGTATCGCGCTTAGACATTTTAAAATACTAAGTGGTTTGGAAACACTTTTACATAAAATTCATAGAGAGGTTGACCTGGTGCAGGGAACAATGCTTTGGCACTTGATCTAGATGTTTTTTGTGTGAGTGTCATACAGCACTGGGAGGTCATTGGCTTTTAAAATATAAGATCGCAGGGGATTTTCATTTGTTCCACCTCTGGTGTTTCATCCCATTCAAAACCAGTGCTCAGAAGAGAACGCTGATCATACAAGCACCCCCAGACCAAGGCTGCCTCCTCTCTTCCCCCTCCAAGTGCCAGTTGTAGAAATGGAGAGGCCGAATTTATTCTGCAGGTGGAATTTTGCTCAACAGTGATTCTTTTTAAGAGCGGTTCCTGGAAGCATGCCCAGGATCTGTAGACTTGTGTGTTGTCCTTTCCCCCCACCCCCTGAGCTTCCCAATACGTTGTCCTCTTGCCAAATATTATTAGCGGCACATTAAAAGTTTGCCTGCTGTCACCGTGACCTTAGGCGACCTCTTAATTTCTTGAGTTCAAGTCCAATTAACCTTTGGGAAGAAGCACAACTGCTCCAGCCAGGTCAGTCAATAGAATCCAATAGTCATCGTTTCATTCTCTGGTTTGTCAAAGGGGGGCCTGTGGTCCCACCTCATCCGTTTCACACAAAGGTGGTCATTTATCACTGTTTAGGGGAGTGGGCAGCACATGCAGCGCTAGCCGAAGAGAGTTGATCAATTAACGCGACAGTATCTCAGTCATGCCATCCCACGGGTTGCCACTGACGAAGGCGCCAGTTGAAAAATTACTCGCCTCTTGCGGTATTCTCAGACTAGGTTACTGTAATGAAAATACTGATGTATACTTGAAATGTTCGATGCCACTAGTCCAGGGGTGGGCAAAATTTTTGTGGCCTGGGCTGGTTCACGGTCCCGCAGACGCCTTAGTGGGCCGGAGTGTGTGCGTGCACACATACACGCATGCGCAAACGCTATTTCTGGCACTCCTTCTGGCACAGAGGAAGCGTGCACAGCTTCCCATTGGCTGCAGGAGCTTCCTGCAGCCAATGGGAAGCTGGCCAGCATTACAGAAGGTGGTCCCCTCTCTGCTCCACTCCAGTTTAGCGCAGCATACGGGAGCCGACCTAGCAGGCGGCAGGGGTCCATGGGCAGGTTAAACGACCCCCATGGACCGCTTGTGGCCCATGGGCCTTAGGTTGCTGACCACTGCACTAGACAGATCTGTGAAACAGGAGTTGAAGAGATGAAGTTTGAATCCCACTTGTTGAATGCTACTCAGAAAATAGAGTAGGCAAGAATCACTCTGCCCAACATCTTGTTTTCTACTATTTCTCTCTCTCTCTTTCTCTTTTGGTACAAAGCTGGGTCCAGTCCTATAAACCCCCTCCTATAATCTGCACTGGAACACTGCTCTCCCCTCCCCCCCCACCTCCCAAATATATTTGTTCTTTGGGAGGCAGGAGTCTTTGTAAAGAAAAACTGCACAATTGCTGCACTCCAGAAATACTCTGGATATTTTGCATGTTATAATAAATCACAAAACATGGGGAAATGCTTCTACCTCTCAGAGAACTGAGCGTTCCACACAGATGCTTCTGATTTTTAAAAATGGGATACCATGATGCTATACTTGTGGTCAGCATGCACCTGAACTATGCAACAACTAGGGGGAATCACACCCAAACAAGTCTTCTCATGAAGATTTCCCATGCCTCTGCTTTCGCAGCATCAGAACCAAACATAACAGTCCAATTGGCTTCTACAGTCAAGTTTTGCGCATAATGCAGATCTGACAGTGAGTTCCCCTTTTTCATGTGTCATAGATGGGATGCAGTGAAGGAGGTTTCCCATTTGTACAAGGCTGTATCCACACACCTCTTTGCTCCACTTCCCCACTGTTTCTTTTTCTGATCATTTTTTGGTGTTTTATGTGATCTTTCACACAATGTAAAAGCCACTTCTGTGAATCTAGTAGAATCTGGTAGGCATGTTAGTCGTCATTTCTACATTAATTGCTTCCAGAAGACAGGGGGGAAATCAGTTTGCAACTCTGGTAACTCAGAAAACAATGGGATGAAATTTGGAGGGAGGTATCCCAGCATACTGCTTTTGAATTACGGTGCTGGAGGAGACTCTTGAGAGTCCCATGGACTGCAAGAAGATCAAACTGATCCATTCTTAAGGAAATGAGCCCTGAGTGCTCACTGGAAGGACAGATCCTGAAGCTGAGGCTCCAATACTTTGGCCTCCTCATGAGAAGAGAAGACTCCCTGGAAAAGACCCTGATGTTGGGAAAGATTGAGGACACAAGGAGAAGGGGACAACAGAGGACGAGATGGTTGGACAGTGTTCTCAAAGCTACCAGCATGAGTTTGACCAAACTGCGGGAGGCAGTGGAAGACAGGAGTGCCTGGCGTGCTCTAGTCCATGGGGTCATGAAGAGTCGGATATGACTAAACGACTAAACAACAACAACATCCCAGCATACAGATTCTTCCCCCGCCATTTTCATGGATTAATCATGGAGGAGGAGTAGTTCACATGCACAGGAAGGGTGGAGTGGTAGAAACATGTCTGATGACTGGTGTGAATGAAATGTAGTGTGATGTGGTGGTATAGCAATCAAAAAGCCACAGTTCCACGGTGCATCTGGTGTAAAGGGAACACTGGACACAAGGACAGAAGCACTAGCATTGTAACCTAGAAAAACAAGTCAATAATCTCAACAGCTGAACTATGCAACTATGGGCAAATCCAAGCAGGTTTAAAGGTTACTCCCTCTTCTCAGGAATCATGAGAAATGTTTCTAGTCACATCCTTTAATTTTGGTGGGTCTTCTCTGAGTAGGAGTAGCACTGAATATTACCCATAATTTCTTTCCACGCTATGCATCCACACTATGCTACCTATTCCCACAGAAGCAGTTGTTAAGTGTTTCGGAGATAGCATGTTAATTGTCATTTTTCCCTTTAAAAGGGACATTTACACTCAGCCAAGGCCTTGGGAAAGGGCTGATGGGAAAGAAAGATAAATAACTCAGTATTAAATTCGGTATTAAATTCTGACTTCACAGGTTCATGAAGTGGGCTTCCCAGTTCACCAATAAGAACAATAAATACAATACTGCTATAGAGATAATTTTTTTTTAATGTGCACTGAATCATTTTTGTGCATTATACAACCTGATTTATAATCCAGCTAAGCAGAATGAGTCCCTAGAAATAAAAAGAGGCTAAAGCAGCTCCTGTGTGAGTCTGCTTGTTTAATATATACATGCGCTAGGCTACTAAAAGCTATTTGAATTGCTGCAGCAAGCTAAGTGGAAACCCCAACAGCAAACATTTGGATAGTAATAATAAAAAAAGAATATTTAGAAATATGATATAGTCTTAGAAATCATGAGATTGCAAAATCAAGTGTGTTTGAGAATTCCTGTTTGTTTTCTAGTTCTTGACAATTTAAATCATGCATCGTCAGAAGTTTAGGCTTACGCCTGCAAAAAACAATGAGGACTATAACCTTGCATCTGAAAATATGGATACCTCTTTTTTTTATAAAAAATCATCAAATGAAAACTTCCTTCCCTATGAAGAGTGTGAGCTATATTTCCCCTTCATCCTTAGTTATCACAGGATCTATGTTATCACTGAACCCTGCAATGACATGAGTAAAATCTATTCTTCTGTTGTTGATAACCCAATATTCAACCTCTATAAATAGTGCAGAAATTGGCAGTTTATACACACTACGATAGATTAGAGTCAAGCAAAGAAAAGCAAATGGAGAATTAGTATCTGTGAACTGTTTCCCTAATCAATACTGAGTGGAACACAGCTTGCTGAAAATGGCTATTTCTGCGTTTGTTTGCTATTTGCATTGTGCCAAGTTTTCATTTCCCTGTTCACAATTCGGAATTCTGTAGCTTTAAAAGTGAACAATTAAAGCTATGGACAATTTCTTAATCGTTCAGCCCTCGGAACCCAATTAAGATTACCTCCTTGGTCTTCCCTCCTGAACAACTGTGTAATACTGTACTAATGAAAAACAGGGCCTCTTTTATTTGCTATGGCCTTGGGGTCAATTATCAATTTATCATTGTGTCCTGCGGGTTTAAAATAAAATACTCTGTGCAGTGTAACCATTCTGCACAATTGACATTAAGTAGATTCTGCAAGTATGGACTTAATAAAAAAAAATACAAAGACAGCTGTCTAAAAGGGTTCAGCTTCTATAAATTGTATTTGACTGCCTTTAATACAAGATAGTGGGAAACTGCAAAACTAAATTAAAGGCATTATTTGTGCTACTGTCTTTTGTCTTTTGTCTAGGAGAGCACTGAACAACCAGAAGAGAGGAAAACAGAAGAGAATAGCCCCACATTAGATTATGATTTGGACCACTTATTACTTTATACCCAAACTATAGCTCAGCGATAGAGGGTCTGTTTTGCATGCATAAGGTCCCAGGTTCAATCCCTGACATCTCCAGGTAGGACTGAGAGAGAACCCTACCTATACCCTACAGAGCTGCTGTCAGTCAAAGTTTCTTTCTTTCTTCTTTGGCAATCACTCATAGGCAAGTAAGATTGTCTTCCATGAACACGGTTTTAACAGTAAGTCCGTAAGTGACTGTAGAGGCCAAATCTGGATCCACACGTCCTTCCACAGTGGGGACATCGGTTTCTGGGTGGGAGTTGATCACAGTGAGGGTTTGCCAAGCATGCCTTCCTCTTAGTACATTTCTCCCTTTCATCCTGAGTTTGAGTGTCTTCAAAGCCCATGGCACCTTTGGTGAAGGCTGTTCTCCAATTGGAGCGCTCGCAGGCCAGTGTTTCCCAGTTATCAGTGTTTATACTACATTTTTAAAGATTTGCCTTGAGACAGTCTTTAAACCTCTTTTGTTGACCACCAGCATTACGCTTCCCATTTTTAAGTACAGAATAGAGTAGTTGCTTTGGAAGACGATCATCAGGCATCCGCACAACATGACCAGTCCAGCAAAGTTGATGTTGAAGAATCATTGCTTCAGCACTGGGGATCTTTGCTTCTTCCAGCATTAGTTCACCTGTCTTCCCAAGTGATGTGTAACATTTTGGGGAGACACCATTGATGGAAACTTTTGAGGAGTTGGAGATGGTGGTGTTTATGAGAGAGAGAGAGAGAGAGAGAGAGAGACTGTCTGCACACAGAGCTGCTGTCAGTCAAAGCAGACAATACTGAACTAGATGGTACAATGGTGCAACTCAATATAAGGCAGCTTTCTATAATTATCTATTTTGCTCTTTTGCATGATAAAGGCAATGGCAACGACAACCTAGAACAGGGTTACATGTGCTTAAACCCAAAATCAGTGGACTTTGGCTCACCTCTGCACTGGATGGTAGTTTCTTACATTCTGTTTTTTTACCATCAGGGCAGACACAAGACATTTTCCTGCCTGAGATAAAGGTCAAGAACCCTCCTCCCATTCCATACCTTCCAGCATATCTCTGATGTAAATAGGGACAACCTATTCCACACACCCCAACATTTCTCTGATGAAAATAGGGATGTCTTAAGGGAAAGTGGGACATTCTGAGATCAAACCAGAAACTGGGACTGCTTCTGTAAATCTGGCACTGTCTCTGGAAAATAGGGACATTTGGAGGGTCTGCCATTCCACACACAGAACCCAACTGGACTAACAGTTGAATCTTACTTTAACACTGATGATGAGACATCACCATCTTACATACCTGAGTGCATCAGGCTAGCTTAGAGGTTCCATCACTTTGCCACTGCCCTGTACCTTCCAGCACATTCCACTGGAGGCAACTGCCTCACTCTGTCTAATGGAAGAGCTAGCCAGGTTTACCATAATTCTTCAGTTATCTGAATGATGACTCGGTGAACATAGGAAGCTGCCTTTCAGTGAGATTTTTTTGTGGGTGTGGGTGAATTTGGTAAGATTCTCAGGGAGGAGGGCAAAGAAAGAATCACTTTCCACAATGTTAGAGAAACTCTTCTAGTCAACCCATTCATGGGTTAGGTGGTATGGACCAAGGGCCTGGCAATATAAAACAGCTTTCTGTGTTATATTATGCAGGCAAGTTTTGGGTGTGATCATGGAGGTAGGGCTGGGATATAAAAAGGAGGGATTCCTGTGAAGTTCCTTCTCCCAGATCAGAATGTATATGTCAATAAAGTAACTGGATTCCCATCCTGCAGCTTTTTGCAACAGAGCCCTATTAGAGGTAAGGTGGCCATTTACACATTGCCAAAACATATCACCCAAAAAGAGGCACAGATTTGCGCCTGCTGGTTTACATCTACAGATGCACATTTAGAAACAATTACTGAAATAAAAACTAAAAACGCAATGCATCTCACTGTGACTTCTGTGCTTCTGCTCAGCCTGGTGTTCAGGAGCTAATAATTGTTGAGCACCTTAAAGCCCCTTGTTCACAAACAGAGGAGGCCGTATATCAACTTATTTTGTACTGCCTGGATGACCATGTGTGGATTTGACAAAATTAAGTGTTTGATTATCTGACAGTTGTATGAAGAAGCATTTCATACTTTGCTAAAAAAGGTTCAAGCCTTTTTTTTTTTTTTTTTGAGATGCACAATAACTTACAAATAAATGTCGGAAGGTGGTGGACTCTCCTTCCTTGGAGGTTTTTAAGCAGAGGTTGGATGGCCATCTGTCATGGATGCTTTAGCTGAGATACCTGCATTGCAGGGGGTTAAACAAGATGATCCTTGGGATCCACAAGTTTATGCTTCTAAGATTCTATGTGTTTGAGAGGGGAAATATGTATGAGAGAGTCCAAGAAACTCTTATCTTTGCATTGCATACTTCAATGGGAAAAGATCCAAGAAGCTAAGTGATACAAAACATCAGATGTCTTAGATTTTCATCAATATAGTAGAAGAAAGAATATGTGCATGCCTAACTGCTGCCTTTTAGGTCATGCTATTTGGACCCACTAGGAAAGTGACAGATAGCAATAATTAAATTGCATGTAGTGATTTGATCATGGAGTTTTCTTCAACAGATCTACAGTCATGTTTAATTGGTGGAGGAAACACACAACTTTCTCTCCTTGCCTTGCTTTGACTAATCTTTTGTCACTGTAATAAGTGTGAAATTGGCAAATATATGCACATTTACTACAAGCAAACAAGCTGTCCGGAATCTAATTAGGCACAAAACTGCCCATCTGTTGTACATTATCATGGGGCTTGCTCACATGGATGTTGCTCCATTACTAAAAGGCAGGGAGGCAAATTGAATTGAGCCTGCCCTCCCTTGTAGAGAGGGATCAAGAGCATAAAGTCAGATCCTTGCTGTGAACTAACAAAAGGACCACTGGGAGAAAGTGGGATGAGATGAGGGCTTTCTATTTTAAAGGCCACATGTCCAGTGTTTAGTATGGGCCATAAGGGAGTGTAAATGCCATTGTTTTGTACAATGCAACACGAGTCGGGACCATATAGGTCTTGTTGCCTTTCCTCCCTGTTGATTTTTGTTCTTACTCCCCAGTGGCAGCTGCCCTTTTATCATTAGTTAACTACCCATGTATGTCAAGTTTGAAGCTTCATTGGTTCTAAATGGGAAGGGATTAATTTAAACAAGTTTTCACATCTTTTTTAAGGTTTGTGCATGTTCACAATGTGAAAATCAGGGTGAGCGTCTGTTAAAAATTTGATACCATGCCAATTTAGAATGCTATGGCAGCTAGGATGGAAAGATTTGTCCATTTTGGTCCTCTCTGCTTCTCATTTTTCCAATTTTAAATTCAATCCTTAACATTTCTGCAGAAGTTCAGTTTTTTGAAAAGAAAAAAAACCTGATGAAAATTCTTCAGCATTTTAGTTCAGATATTGCCAATAAACCGATGCTGCTTTGACTATTGTATACATTTTTTGCAAGCATACACTGCATTTTTGTGTTATTTTCATTAATATCAACACATGTGCCTTTTTGTAAACACTGGTTGGACAACTACATTGCAATGTTCAGATAAGTGTGAATTTTGAAGGCTAACTGTGTTTTGATTCTCATATTGTTTTGAAAAGTGCATAATTTGATAGATTCAGCTTCAAATTTGTGTTGAATCAAATTTCTCCTTCATCACTACGGGTAAGTATAACCCAAGCTGCATATTATGACCACTACTTCATCATTATCCTTATCATCACTGATCCAAGATGGAGGTGCTATGTTTCTGGGATATGGTAGCATTTCAAAATCTTCCCTAGGAGTTTGAAGTCTCAGCATTTGATTGCTAGCTTTTTAAAATAGGTTGCTGCCACTTAGGAATGTGAACTATTTCATCAACCCCACATTAATTAAAAATATGTAAGTATAAAACAATCATTTCTAATTCAGAGACTTGTAATTAAACGAACGCTTTACAAAACCAATCTTCACAGCTTCCTGGGATAATGACATTCCCTTTTTGATGCAACTGATGCAACTAACCAAGCAAACAAAAATTAAACTTTTTCCAGTTAGAGTTTCTAGTTAGAATATTCTACCTACGGCTGGGCTGCAAACTTTCTCGGCTTTACTAGATCCAGTAATAGAACTTCATAAGCACACACAAACAAATGTGGCAGCTAGTTTCCATTGCCCATTTCTCCAATATATGATGAGCACTCAAATCTGACAGTATCAATTACCTGTTGCATTTGAAATGGGGGGGGGTGTCTTCATATGAGTGCAGAAGCATGCAATTTGTCTCCTATACAGTATATTAAGTTCTCTGAAGCAGGACGGAAAACACTTTCAAATTCCATTGGAATAGCTTGGCTTGGTTTTCTGCTGCAATTTGCTCCTGGTCTTACAGTGGTACCTCAGGTTACAGATGCTTCAGGTTACAGACGCTTCAGGTTACAGACTCCGCTAACCCAGAAACAGTACCTTGGGTTAAGAACTTTGCTTCAGGACGAGAACAGAATTCGCGTGGCGGTGGCGTGGCGGTGGCGCAGCGGCGGCAGGAGGCCCCATTAGCTAAAGTGGTACCTCAGGTTAAGAACAGTTTCAGGTTAAGAACGGACCTCCAGAACGAATTAAGTTCTTAACCTGAGGTACCACTGTATTTCGATTTTCAAAAGATGCCAGTGTCTTAGTAAAGATAAAGTTTGCTTGCCCAAGCGGAGACCCCCCGACCCTGAGTGCTGCCGCCTCCGCTTCCTATTTATGCATCTCAAGCGGACCAATGGGAAGCCTGCCCAATTGTAGTCCGCTCAGCTGGCCCCGCCTCCAACAAGACACTGGTAAATTAAACTGGGGTTTGGCGGGAACCCTCAATGGCTGGCGACAGGGAGGTGGGCCATTCCAACCAGCTGGTGAGTCCCACGTGGCCTGGGGGTGCTGCACACGGTCCTGCAAAGGCCGCCCCCCAAGGGAGGTGTGAGCGCTCATTCTCATCGTCACAGAATCCAGTTCAGGTCAGTAGAACCACTGAATGACATAGCAGGATTGCTTTGCTAAGAGCAAA